ACGACGAAAACACACACACACACACACACCAACTGACCCAACGAATGAGCATTTGCAGCTCCTTTGCCTCCGCCATGGTTGCCTATCTTGAACACGCGGTTTCAATGCCACCACTTAACCTCCTCTTATCGAACTGTGTTGCCTCTGCCTCTGTGCTTGTGTGCGTTTGCTTTCGATGCACACACACACACACACACACACACACACGCCTCTCACAGCAATGCAGGTTGTATCTCCTCGACCAACTGATCCAAGAAAAGCGTTGTGGCAGCTGAAAATGATGGTGACGACACCATAAACTGTAGTCTGGAGGAGCGCTGTTTGTTGTTTGTGTTGTTTGTTGTTTGTGTTTTGCTTTGGCTGTGATGGGAGGCAAGATGCTGGTGCTGGTGCTGCTGGTGGTCGCTGCGCTCGCCCTGGCTGTGCACGCGCACCCACTGCGTAAGTACGAGCTGCACCAGTGGTGGTTGTTGCTATTTGTTTTTTGTTTTGTTTTGATTGCTACGTCACATCACTGCATTGCTTGTGGTTGTTTGTTTTGTGCTTGTCTGCTTCCGCTGACTTTCATTGGCACAACTGTGTGCTTGTGTGTGTGACAGGCAAGGACGCCTCGTCCAGTGACGATTGGGAGTGCGATCCGTTGGTCCCGGGCGTGTGCGCGTTCCCATTCCCCAACAACTTCTTCCGCGACTCCGCCACTGGGTACACATCGCTGCTCACCACGTGCAATGCGATCTTGCATGCCAAGTGCAGTGGCACGACTGCAAACGCATACAAGAGTGCACACATGTCTCCCTCCACGCACGCGCTTTCATTCACAGGCACCTACTCCTCACACCCACTTGACTTTGCCTTCCCCATTGACTGTGTGCAGCAAACTCAACATCACGACAAGGGCCATCCCCATGACCCACCTCAACCAGAGCATCGACCCCCAGATTGGTGGCTGGACTGACCTCGACGGCTTTTCGCGTGCGTATCGTGTGTTTGTGCATTTTTGTGTGTGTGTGTGTGTGTGTGTGTGTGTGTGTGTTTGTGCATTTGTGTGTGTGTGTGCATTTGTGTGTGTGTGTGTGTGTATGTATGCATGTATGTGGATGTGCATGAGTCTTCTTGTATGTACTTGTGTGTACTTGTGTCCACTTGCGTGTACGTGTGTGCACGGGTGGATGCAACATGCCCAACGCTGATTGTTTTCTCTGCCTGCTTTGTCACACTCATCTTCGCTCGCCCGGTCCACACCTGTACTGCGCTGCACTACACCGACACCCGTGCCTCTGTGCCTTGTCTCCAGCTATTCCGATGATCATGGCACAGTTCCCTGACCTCGACATGTCATCGTTGCCGCGGTGGTGGAACGTGGAGCGCTCTATGAGCAGTGACTCGCCGACCGTCCTCATCAACGCCGATAACGGCCAGCGAATCCCTCACTGGTGCGAGCTCGATCACTCCTCCGACCAGCAGCGCCCACAGGTGTGTATGTGTGTGTGTGTGTGTGCATGCGTGTACGTGTGTGCGTGTGTGTATGTGTGTGTGTGTGACCATGTGTGTGCATCGTCATGCATGTGTGTGCATATTTCGTCGAGTGCACACGACGTGAAATGAACAGATTCCTTGTGCACATCACTTGACACATACTCATTCCTCTCCACATCACTCCTGTTCCGCTTCCCCCTTCATTTGATGGCATCAAGGGATATGACCGCGCCCTCATTCTCTGGCCAGCGGAACGCCTCAACAACAGCGCAACTTATGTTGTCGGATTCAGGAACCTCAACACCACTCGCGGCGATGTACGCTGGTGTTGCGTGTTGTGCGTGTGTGTGTGTGTGTGTGTGTGTGTGTGTGTGTGTGTGTGTGTGTGCGTGCGTGTGCGTGTGCGTGTGCGTGTGTGTGTGTGCGCCCTCATGAGCTGGAGTGTGGTAACACGTTTTACAGCTTCATTTCAACCTCTCCTTGACACCACTCTCACCACCATCACCGCCGCCACCATCTCCATCAGCGCATTGCGGCGAGTCCGGCGTTCGCGTCGCTGCGTGATGGTTCATCGTCGCTCATCCCCTCCGTCAACACCCGCCGTCAACGATACAACAGCGCCATCTTCCCCGCACTCGCGCAGCAGGGTGCGTCGTTTCACACAGCTGTGGTGGTCGTGGCGGTGGTGATGTGAGGCTGATTGCGTGAGATTGCATGGGCCCCCATCGCACGAGTGAGGCTGTACATGGTGCTCCTTCTTCCCAACCGTGTGTCTTCGCACTAGCCCAGCTATCAAGCCCATGTGCCTCTTCACCTTCGCACCCAATGCACAAAACTGTACTTGCATTTCTTAACCTCTCTGAACCCTTTCTCGCAACACATGCATCACCATCCCCCCCCCCCGTTTCCGCTATGTACACGACAGGCTTCCGCCGGTCGTCGCTTGTGCTGGCGTGGGAGTTTACGGTGATGTCCACGCACACCATCACCAACCGCCTCGTCACGATCCGTGACGACGCATTCAAACGCACGCAGGATGGCATTTCGTTTAGCATTGAACACGTGGAGGAAAAACCCCGTGCAGGCGTTGCGCGCCAGCTGCGAGGCGTCATGAAGGTTCCATGGTACCTCAACCAGGAGGTGCGTTGTATCTGTGTGTGTGTGTGTGTGTGTGTGTGTGTGTGTGTGTGTGTGTGTGTGTGTGTGTTGGCATGTGTGCATGTGCGCATGTGTGTTGACATGTGTGCATGTGCGTGTGAGTGTGAGTGTGTGTGTCTGTATTTGTGCGTACCTCGTTATGATCACCGTTGCAACCCTTCTGAAGTGCTGTACACACCCTCACCACAACCACCACAACCACCACCACCACCACCACCATCATCGCCACTATCGCCACTGTCCATCATCATCATCATCATCATCATCATCATCGTTGTCGTCGTCAGGCGCCCGGCATGAGTGTTCGCATGGCGGTCAAGGACGGCGATCCCAACACGCCAGGTGCGATGGCGGCGTACTGTTAGCACGCCATGCGCTGTTGTGGCTTCCTGTCGGTGTTTTTTGTCGCAGGAACACGCAAGTACACGTACGCAAACACACACACACACACACACGTACACATACGCACATGCACACATGCACACACACACACACACGCACTCATACTCATACACACACACATACACACACACACACGTGCCGTCACGTCTCGCCAGTGTACAACGGAGAGGGCGCTGTGCAGTTCCTCGTGATCGTCCCGGAATCGCTGGCCAACAACGGAACACGCGGTGCCATTATGCAGTACGGGCACGGTTTGTTTGGGTCCATGTCTGAACTCGAAACAGGCTACCTTGATGACGAGGCAAACAGGTAACAGGGCAGTGGTGCGCGGTGGTGATGTGTTGCTTTGAAGTTAACAGGTTGTTGACACATGCCAGACGTTTGCAAACAGCACATCGTTGCCTGTGTGTCATCAAATCATCAATCACCCTCAGTCTTGCGTGTTTTGGATAGTTGGAGCTGTCTCCCACGCGCGTGCGATCACCATGATCACCATCACCACCACCACCACCACCATGATCACTACTATGTACCCCATCGCGTCGCACACTGCATGCCAGGTACGGGTACGTGCTAGCCGCCACCAACTGGCTCGGAATGTGCTATGAGGACGAGGTGCCGGTCGCCTCCATCATCGCTGAAGACCTTTCAAATTTCCCGGCAGTCCCAGACCGCTCCCACCAAGGTGCGTGTGTGTGTGTGCGTGTGTGTGTGTGCATGTGTGTGTGTGTGTGTGTGTGTGTGTGTGTGTGTGTATGTGTGTGTGTGTGTGTGTGTGTGTGTGTGTGTGTGTGTGTGTGTGTGTGTGTGTGTGTGTGTGTGTGTGTGTGTGTGTGCATGGCCCGTTTTCGTGCCGGCTGATGTGCCCTATCCTTCTTTCTACAATTTCACACACACACACACGCACACGTGCACTCACTCACACACACACGCACACGTGCACTCACTCACACGCACACACACACACACACACACAACCATGTCCACGCAACCCTCACCCTCCCCATATCATCAGGGTATTTGCATCACATCACCCGCGATCCCCTCCCCAACACGCCGGCGCACACCGTCATTGGGCACTATGGTCTTGGTGATGCGCAGGTGACCTGGCTTGGCATGCTCACGATCGGACGCAGGTGAGGGGGCGGGGGTACACGCGGTGGTGGTGGTGGTGGTGGTGGTGGTGGTGGTGAAGGAAGCCTGTGTTGTTCGATTGGGATGCATTTCGCACTGACAAAGAGCAAGCGGCAATCACGACAATGACGACCCTTACAACCACCACCATCACCACCACACAGTCACTTATCACTCAACTGATGTGATGTTATGTCTTGCACGTCTGGCTAACCACTGACTGCATCTATCCCATGCAATGAATCATTGGTCAGTGTGGGCGCACACATGTACAAGTCCAACGTTCGAGAGGCGAACGAGACGCTGTATGGGTTTGACTTCATCTCAGACGACACCACGCTGTCCACTCCTGGCCAGGTGTGTTTGTGTGTATGTATGTGTGTGTGTGTGTGTGTGTGTGTATGTGTGTGTGTGTGTGTGTGTGTGTTCTCTTGCAAGCATGTCGTTCCTTCATGCACCTTCCATGCGACCTACACCTTACTCTTCCCACCACCCATCCATTCCATCCACTCATCCAACCATTCCATCCAACCATTCCATCCAACCACGTGCGGTCAACTGTGACAGAACCTGGTCCAGGGCTGGGACTTTGGTGCACCCCCAGTCCCGCCCGTCAACATCCCCGCTGCCAAGAGCACGGATGCCCACGAGAAGCCACGCCGAACGATGACGGCACAGGAGCAGACGCACCGCTTCCTCACGCAGGGTGTCATCTACAACGCCTGCAACGGACCCTGCCATGGTGATGGCGGTGGCCTGTAGATGCACGTGCCAGCATGCTACTAGCCTCGCTCACACGATTGCGCGTTGTTTTTCTTCTTTCGTGCATGCCACTTGTGCCTGTTTTCTTGTTGTTGTTTCGTTTCGCAAAGGGTGGCGGTTGCCGTGTCACAGCCATCACCCGCCATCAGGCTGATGTGAGCTTTAGTGCACGTTGCTTTGGTCACTGCAAATTCACAGTTGTCGTCATGTGAGTGCATGCATGCGTGTGCACTGTGGTTGTTGCTGTGCCTGACTTTTCTCGTTTACCCTCTGCTTTGTGTTACATTACGCTACGCCACAGCAAATCAAACCAACGAAGCGGTGGAATGAATAACAGCGTGCATGTGTGTGTGTGTGTGTGTGTGTGTGTGTGTGTGTGTGTGTGTGTGTGTGTGTGTGTGTGTGTGTGTGTGTGTGTGTGCGTTTGTGTGTGTGTGTGTGTGTGCGTGGGGGGATAGTGCGGCCACCGGGCCGTAACAGCAACAGCAACTACAACACACCCGAGTGAGTGGGGTCATATGTATGCAGTCAGCCGTGATCGGTTTTGTGGACAACAGCACAGTTTAGACAAGAGGGGACGCACGTGGGGGTTTGTGTGTGG